TATACGCACTAGCAAAATTCAATGTAGTCTATACATAATACGTACATACATATTAAGGAGTATGCTTGTTTATTATTTTTATGCCAGTTATTTTAAACTAGAGGCCCAGTGCACGAAATTCATGCACGGGTAGGGTCCCTAGGCCTGGCCGGTGATTAGGGTCGATCATGTTTCCTGCCTCCCCGCCTCCCCACCTCCTCCTTCCCTCGCACCTTCCCACCTTTAACCCCCCACCACCACTGGTCGCCCGCCATGTTCTGCGCCAACCCCTGGTGGTCAGCGCACATCATAGTGAGCAATTGAACTCCCGGTTTCTCAGTCAAACTCCTGACAGGACAATTTGTATATTAGCCTTTTATTATATAGGATAGCAGTTGCAGTTTGCAGACCACTGTTGTAGGGAATTGCAAGTAGTTTGGTATAGTTGGAGCACAGGATGTGTGTGTGTGTGTGTGTGTGTGTGTGTGTGTGTGTGTGTGAAGAACTGCCAGGAAGTAAAACTAGTAAAGCTAGCAATCGCCCTACCCTTAATGGTCTCAACTCCATGCTAGGATTTATCTGAAGAATAGAAAAAAAACTTTCTGCAAAAAAAAAAATTTCAAAAAAGAGGGGTAGCATAAGTGAATTGTGAATTGATAGACTGTTGAGAAAGGATACTAAGGATAATATTGGTGAATGTAATCACAATGGGAAAGTTCAACAGACCTGTTTACATAAGTATTTAAATTATCTTTATGGTTTAACATAACTTTTAATAATATTAAATGAAAACAACTCACTGGCTTGGCAGGTATGGCTCAATGGTTGAGCGTTGACCTATAAACCAGGAGGTCAGCGCATGCCTGGGTTGGCTCATTCCCCAGTAGGGAATGTGCAGGAGGCAGCTGATCAATGATTCTCTCTCATCATGGATGTTTCTATCTCTCTCTCTCTCTCTCTCCCTTCCTCTCTGAAATCAATAAAAATATATTTTTAAAAGCTCAGAGGGAAAAAAAACTCACTGAGAAAAATACTATAAACAAATAAGGTATATACAAGATTAACACCCTCACTAAATTAAGAACTCTTACAAATAAGTTTTTTAAAAGTTAACTCAATAGAAAAATTCGCAGGGGATATAAACAGGCTGGAAATTAACAATAGAAGATATGCAAATAGCCCATAATCATATGAAAAAGGTGTTCATCATTATTCTAAATACAGTAAATTTGAAAAACACTGAACATCAATTCTTCACCTATCTATAATAATAAAAGCTTAATATGCTAATTAGACTGGACATCCTTCTGGACAACCTTCCAGACGAAGCCGGCCTGGAGGGAAGCCCAGGTCCTGGGTTCCAGAGGGAAGCCTGTGCCGGTAGCCAGGGGAAGGAAGGCCTACTCTTACACGAATTTTGTGCATCGGGCCTCTAGTAAAATTATAAAAATGATAATACTCACTTTCATGAGGATATCAAAGACGGGCCAAATGTATACAGTATAAACAAGCATAAGTTACTTCATCAGAAAATAAAATAAAATTTAAGTGTAGTAACTGGTTTTGAAAAGGGTCAGATTGAAGGCATCATAGCACCATTTAAGAAACTATCACATAATTCAGGTCATAGCAGTATAAATGGAGAATAGAGAACTCACTGCAGACATGCTAATATGTAAGCTCTATAGTGGAAACTGAAATTTAGGAAGGAGTCAAGGATAACTCCTGAGCCTCCACCATTGATTGTGGAGTTACAGAAATCCTCCCTGACTTTAATAGGGAGATTACACTGCCTTCACAAACACGCAAACATTATTTCTCATTCTTTCTCCTCTTTGGGACAAAATGTAATTTATCCTATCTCTTAAACTTAGACTGTGTTTCTTTGCTGAGTACAAACAAATCTAAAGAGCTGGGAAAGCAGACTAGTGCAGCCACTGTGTAAAACAGTATGGAGTTACCTCAAAAAATTAAAAATAAAACTCCCTTATGATCCAGCGATTCCACTTCTGGGACTGAATCTGAAGAAACCCGAAACAATAATTCGAAAGACTATATGCACCCTTATGTTCGTTGCAGTGTTATTTACAATAGCCAAGATTTGGAAGCAGCCCAAGTACCCATCAGTAGAAGTGGATAAAAAGTTGTGGTATATTTACAGAATGGGCCGTGAAAACAGAAGAAAATCTTATCCTGTTTGACAGCATGGATGGAACTGGAGAGCATTATGCTAAGTGAATAAGCCAGTCAGAGAAAGACAAGTATCATATGATTTTACTCATATGTGGAATCTAATGAACAAACTAAACTAACACACAAAATAGAAACAGATTCATAGATAGAGAGAATAGACTGAATAGACTGACAGCTGTCAGAGGGGAGGGGCATTGTGGGGCTGGGTGAAAAAGGTGAAAGATTAAGAAAAGAAAATTAATGGACACAGACAACAGTGTGGTGATTACCAGAGAGAAAGGGGATGGGGGGAAGAAGAGGGTAAAGGGGGGATAAATGGTGATGGAAGAAGACTAAACTTGGGGTGGTGAGCACACAATTCAATATACAGATGATGTATTATAGAACTGTACACCTGAAACCCATATAATCCTATTAACCAATGTCACCCCAATAAATTCAATAAAAAAGAAAAAAAGAGCTATGATGCATTGGGAAGGCATTATAGAATCTTTACATATATATTTGATTTTTCATAACACCATGAGATAGCTGTTATTCTTTTTTAAAATATATATATTTATTTCAGAGAAGGAAGAGGGAGAGGGAGATAGAAATATCCATGATGAAAGAGAATCACTGATCGGCTGCCTCTTGCATGCTCCACACTGGGGATTGAGCCCACAACCCAAGCATGTGCCCTGACCGGGAATTGAACCATGACCTCCTGGTTCACAGGTCGATGCTCAACCACTGAGTCACACCACCCGGGCAAGATAGCTGTTATTCTTATTTCACAGACCAGTAAACACAAAGGCATTAAGTTATTTATACAAGGACTGTGAGCATGATTTAGGATTTGGATTATAGGATTTGGATCCAGATCTATTGCACCATAGACTCAGATAAAGGTCATCTACAATCTAGATAAAGAGTCAAAAGTTAGGCAAAGGGAAGACTTTCCCTTTGACAAATACTCTCCCGGGAAAAGAAGATTTACTCAGCTATAGATTTTGCTCAAAACTGTAATGGAGCCCAGATTCTGACAACCTACTGTCAACTGTGTTTAGTGGACCTGTCAGAGGTGCCTATCATGATTAACCTGCATTCCACTGGGCGCTTCCAACTAGGCTAGAATTGCTGTGATGATATCTTTCAGTATCCAATTTAGTTATTCAAATGAAAAAATAGTTCCTGGATGACCTTTACATATCACCTACTCAAGGCTTTAAATGCCAAGCTCAAGGCCTATCTTCAGCATTCATTCTTTCATATATTCATATCTTCAACCTACCAACTTATACTAACTGCATGACAAGCCCTGTGTTGGGCTCTGACAATTCAAAGATGAATTAGAGTGACTCTGTTCACATCTAGACGAGGAGTAGACAGAAAAATCCAACATGGAAATAGAGGGTTATAAGTGTTGTGATATTGTTAATCTGTGGAGTGTGGTGTTACAAAAGAGTGGCACGAAACCTAGTTTGGTGTTCAGGGAAGACTTTTTGGAGGAGGCGGTACTCGTTCTGAGCCAGATGGAGAGGGTATGGGTGAGGGACGCATATGTAAAGATATGGAGGGGAGAGAAACCCTTTAGGTAATTTAGTTTGGCAGGAGCATAGCACCTGAGGAAAAGAATGAGCTAGGGATGGGGTAGAGAGGTTTTCAGACACCAGTCATTTGATATTTGAATACCAGACGAAGTAGATGGGGCTTGAACCTGAAGAAAGTGGGTGATCACTGCAGAGCCATTGGCAGGGGAGTAATATGATTGGATTTGTATATTGGGAAGAACACTCTAAATCAGTGGTTCTCAACCTTGGCTGCACATTAGAATCACCTGGGAATCTTTTGAAAATCCTGATTTCTGGGCCTCATCCTCTGGAAATCCTGTTTCTTTGTTACTAATGTTGTGGCCCCACCCCATAACAAAGAAAGAATTTCCGGAGGATGAGGCCCAGAAATCAGGATTTTAAAAAGATTCCCAGGTGATTCTAATGTGCAGCCAAGGTTGAGAACCACTGCTTTAAATGAAGGCAGGGTAATCAGTTGGTTATTTGTAGAAGTTCACGGAAACATTAGTGAGGTCTGAGCTAGGGCTGAGTGAGGAGGGGTAATTATTAACTGGACTTGGTGACTACTCATGAGGATGAGAGGAAAGGAAGGATCTGAGGTGATTCCCAGATTTTTGGCACGGCTGACTGGGTGGATGAAAACGCTACTTATGAATTTACAGGAGTAGCAGGTTTGGGAAGATGAGGAGTTTTGAACACGTTAAATATGCTGGATCTGTGAGACATTCACGCAGACATGTCAAACAGGCCCTGCATTCAAGTATCTGGAGAGAGATGTGGGCTAGATTTTTTTTTATCTATCAGTATTGTTTATGATTTTATTTATCAGTACTGTCTATGATTTTACAAGGATTAAATACTATGGATATAGATAATATGTTCCTGAGGTTCTTGTTATTTAGTGAACATACTAAATATTTACATGCAAAGGCATACTTACACTTTTTTCACAGGTAAAACGAAATCAATGATAACACCTACCATTTATACTATGTGGCATGAATTGTGCCATTGAATTACCTAGTGTTTACCATAACTCTTTGATGTAAGAGTAATTACTCCTAGTTTTCATGAGAGCCGAGTATCGAAAGCGTAGTGTAAACTGGCCAAGGTTAGTTCGTGGCCGAACTGGCAACTCCAAAGGCAGTGTTCGTTCTTTTATCGCACTTTTGTGGGTTGGGCTCCCCCGCATTAACAATGGATTGCGTTACACTCAGCCGGTTGCTAGGAGGACTTTACTCCGCCCCCATCCCTGGCCCAGAACCCAGCAGGTGATGACAAATCGGCTCCTGTGGAATTGTGGGTAGATCTCGGGCTCACAAATGAAAGGATTCCCAAACACTTCCTAGCTTAGTCTCTCCTGCTCCTCTGGCCGAGGGTGCAGGGAACCGTCCAGCACTAGGACCCGGCGGAATCCCAGCCGTCATGGCGCAGCTGTTCACCGCCCGGCTCCAGTTGCTGCTCCTGCAGGCGATGGGCTTTCTCATTGGCCTAATAGGCCAAGCCGCTCGAGCCTTCGGCGGCCCCAAGTTCGGCTCGATGACCACACCGCCTGTGACTGAACCATTACTGCTGCTGTCGGGGGTGCAGCTGGCCAAGCTGATCCGCCAGAGGAAGGTGAGCGGGCGACGCGGACCGATTCCAACGGGGCCGGGCCGACCGGGCATTTCGGGAGAAACTCCATGCCTGGGCGTTTCGCGGCGGAGGTTGTTGTGGTAACGAGTTGGGGTTTTGCGGGGACACATTTCCTTTCCACTCTCCGTGGGGCGGCGGAGGAGAGGCTCTGGTTGGGGAGGAACGGGGGCTTCTGGGAGTTGTAGTGTTTCTACCCCGAGCGTGTTCCCTGGGCATCGGTTGGGCTCTGTTGGCGCCGCTTGGCGTGTCTTCGTGTCCGTTCGCCCTGTTTGTGTGTAATAATGGTGCGGGGATAAGTCAGGTGCGGTT